TTTTCAGTCAACAACAACAACAATTCACTACTGTCTTCACATGACAATATTTAATATGTACATGTCATAGAAAAATACAGACGGAGAGACATAAGTAACCCTTTGTTACTATTGATGCAATACAACAAAAACATAAAATTCACACTTGTTATCAATGTTTTTCGTTTGATTTGTTTCATAGTGTAGAAAACATGTAAATTTAATTTTACATTCACCATGTGACTACAACTCTCAAAGGGTAAATGTCATTTGATACACCTTTTGATAAAAAAATATTGATTCTTACATTATAGTACGCATACCGTAATATCATGACACAACACAAGAAAGAGCATTGAGAAAATATGTAGTATATGAATAAAATGAACATCTTGTGAAAACTAAAAATGGTCTTTTCATACAAAATCATCTGTTTAGCAGTACTCTAGTTCAAATATGATGTCCACCATTACATAATTGTATGTCTTCTCAAGATTTATCTTTCGCTATTTTTCTTCATAGATTATGATAATAAAAATGTTATTTTATTCACTCATGAAAAGATAGATTACATTTGCGAAAAATAAGGAAATGAGTGAAAAACGACGGAATCTTGGAACTATAGATTTCATGGAATTCTCAGATTCCGTTCTTTTCTCCTTGGAATAATATCACTTACATCAAGTTTCTCGACAATCAATTTCTTATTTTCGCGTACAACTAAAGCTAGTGACATGATATTTGTATCTGTATGAAAGAAACAAAGAAAATAATGAGAAGAACCCGATATTGCGCGTGCTTTTATTTCAAGACACATTATCTCTTCCTTTTCTCTTATTACTTACATTATCAATATGATATACTATTTATTGTCGTTTGTCGGAAATTATGGAAGCGACTATATCATTTAACGATCATTTGTTATCAAAAGTTCAATTTTACAACTGTTTAATGTCGCAGTATGACTAATAGCAGAATGACAAAATAATTCAAAGTTTCTGTTTTCTACCACCATAAAGGTATACTTGCACAATGTATAAGAAACAATCTCACCTTTGATCATTTAAGAAAAGTTTATCGGTGACGAAAACCAATTCTCTATGAAAATATCCAATCTATTTTTGATAGCAACAAAGAGAAAAACAACTCATATTTTTTTAATACTACAAAGCAGTTAGTCGGGTGTGGATCACATAAACACATGAATATCACCCATACCCACACCCACCCACCAATAGAATTTATGGTGAATGATATTCCAAAACCTATGAAATTTTACAATAATTTTACTCTTAATATCCAGTAGAAAAAAGACAGTGCAGAATTAATTTAACTAATTGCTTTATGGACTATTATTTTCTTGCGTGGTTCTATACGATTCTTTAAAATATTGCTGATTTAAATTCCAATAAAAATCAAGAAATTCTAAGCAAATATTCAGTACAAAATAATACACTCCAACGAAAAGTTATTATTATAATTCATCTAAATCGGTTGGGTTTAATACACGCTCACATGTCATTTAGGAAATGAATAGTTCGGCTTGTCCACGTAACGCGACACTTCGCCGGTCAAGTTTTTAAAATTTTTTTTTCCGAGTTGAACAGATTTGAACAAGCTATTAGACGCAGTTTTTAACGCTGATTACGAATCTGAGATTTATTTTATAAAAAAATTAGATTTTATTATCAAAAACTGGGTTTTAAACTTTTGAAAAATCGTATTTCGAGTTTTCTACCAAAGAAAGTTTTCCAAAAATTTGCGAGAGACGTATCATTCAATGCAGAATTGGATTCTCTACAAAATGGCCTATTTAGTTTTGATTTTAATAGCTGGTAACAATTTTTAACCTCCAATACCCTCCCGAACTTCCGGTCCAGTTTTTGAGCTCCCTCGTGGATGAATTAATCTGATTCTTTAGTACACGTTTATCTACACAGTAATGAGTAACCGTTAAAAAATTCAAATCATTCGGACGATAATAACTACCTCAAAAATGGCTCACAAAAAAGTGTGTAACAGCGTTACGAAAAACGTAACAGCGTTACGTTTGTTTTTTGCATTTTTCACACAAATAAAAATAGCTAAAAGGAAATTTTTTTTGGTTTTAGAAAGCTCGTTTAAAGCTCTACAAACGTAGTTCTAAGAGCATTTCTCTTGAACAAAATATATCGCAAGTAATTAGAGTTTTCTTGGTGGTACTGAAGAATAAGGGTCTTTTTATGTAACAGTGTTACGCGACAATGTAACCCTTACAGATATCCGAGGCTTCAACAAAAAAATATCGTTTTTATAGAATAAGTAGAGTTCGATAAGCTGCATCGAATGGCGTTTGAATGAACGTTCTAGCTATTACACTTTCCGAGATAATTGAAGAAGAATGTGTCAAAAACGTAACAGCGTTACGTTTGGACAAGCCGAGTTACCTTCTGCTTATGTTGATTAAATTGAAATTCTATATTCTTTCGATCAGTTCCTACATTTATTGTTATTCTTTGAATTTTATTTCATCAATATCTTAGATGAATGTATTTTCACAAAAGACTTTTCAGTTATAATTTCTAGATCCATCTTGAGAGCGTGGGTGTGAGTGTGATTATGGTGAAAAGAAGATAAATAACTTGACCTACACCCTCATTCTTATAAGAATGAGCAACCGAACGGAGATTTGCTATTACCATGACCTCTACATATAGAAGACAAGAATAAGAAAAAAAAAGCGGACATCATATATCTAAGCGGGCAAAAGGTCAGGAAATAGTCTGCGATCTGTTTCTTTTATATCATATTTTTCATTGTTCACTATCGCGGCCGGAATTTCTTCAATAATGGTTACAACATTCGAACATTTACCAAATGAATTAATATTAAGATGTTTTTCATACTTCAATTTCTTTGAATTGTATGACCTATTCTATGATCTAAACAGACGTTTTCATCACCTTATTCGGTATGAATCAAAATTATACATCGACTTAGATGCAGTATCCGATGCAAAACGTTTAACTTTTTATTTGAACTTAAATCAAATCATAGCAACAAATCAAAACTATCAGTTATCAATTATAACTGAGAATGAACACGATCTACGTATACTATTCTACGATAATTTATTTCAAGATAAATTATGTAATTTAAAATCTTTGATATTATCCAATGTACCAGTTGAAACTATATATTCTATAATATTTGAAACAACAGCAAAATTATATGAAGGTTTAAGACACTTGAAATTACTAGATGGAATCAAGACGAAAGATAAAGAAAGTGAACATGATAAGATACAAAGTAAGAATAAGAATAAACAACCAGATTTGTTTTATATACTGAATTCAAATTTTTTTATACATTTAGAATTATGTAACAACCTAATATCATCGAAAATGAAATCATTAATATATTTACATATAAATTTTGATCCATATGAATATCATGATGATACGCCCTCGCCTTTAGATGATATTTATTTAGAATTTGAGGAATTATCAAAAAGAGGTGAATCGTTAAGTCAATTAGAAACTCTTATTATCGGAGGTAAGTTATTTTTAATTCTACAAATATCTATAGTAGCATCTATATATATAGAGCTCTGTGATGATAATGATCATATTATGTCGGCACCAACAATACGCTTTTGTTCATTAATAACAAATTTATTACCATGTGTACCGAGATTAGAAACGCTATTTATAAATTCGATCCATTTTATGCCCTACTATAATGATCTAACAAAAATAGTATGAGAAAATAACTTTTAGACTATTCTTTACTGAATTGTTTTATCATAGGAAAGAACAACACATTTAATGATACCATCGAATTTAAGAAAGGTTACAATCTGGATCGATCGTTTTGATGGTGATAATATAGAAAAAAATATAAATATAGTACGACAATTCTTTATAAATAACAATTTATTGAAGATGACAAGCATTAAAATCTTCAGTATTCCATATGAAGAGGATTTTTAGTATTTTATTTCTTTGTTATCATAAAATAAAAATTTTAAAATGCTTTTTTTGTTGTTGCTGTCGAATAAAAGAAACAAAGAATCAAGATTTCATTTCTTGATAATATATCAGATAGCAAAGTCCATGTGCGTTAATGACCGAATAAATAACGGATATACTGCGGACTTTCTTATGAAATCAAAGACATTCAGTTGTATTTTAGTCGGTAACAAATTCGGTTTGGTGTACAGTATCTCAACGCATGTGTATGATGTGCAAAGAGTAAGCAAGTATTGTATTCATATTGTGCGGGTGAGAATGTTAGGGTGAGATAAAATTGAACCACATCCACACATCCTCACGGAAATCAGTATTTGAGTCTATTATAAGCAGAGAAGTAAATTATATCAACCTCTATTTGAGAGATATATAAAACTCACATGATCTTGATAGAATTTGACTGCTTTAAAGCAAAAACATTGACATTGAATGAATTTGATAAACTCATACTAATATTTCTGGTTCAATACAGTCGTAGTCATAAAATTTAAAATCTTTCTTTTTCAATTTTTATTACGATGGCAAATTATGAATTATGATTAACTTCACTAGTGTGAAATGAGTATAAAAAAATGTTTTATTTTCTCAAATATTCTATATATAACTGAAATTATTTGACTTACTTCAGACACACACAAAGCAATTCTTTCATTCTTACAAAATATTATTTCCTTTCTGTAATAATGTAATTATTTATTCTTTCATTTAATATAAAATATCCTTTGACAATCATTCCAATTTAATAATAATTAAAAACTTGAAATAATACTTTTGTTCCTTTTAATATTTATATATTGAATCATTTCATTATATATAATAATATCAAAAGCACATCTCCTTTCAATAAATGTTTGATATAAAATACAAAATAATTTTTTCGAATACTAATACTATTTGTATTGGTTAATTAGAGAATCATATAATGATTGATATTATAAATAATAGTTTTATATTTCAATTTTCAAATCTTAGAAAAATTTCATAAATAAAACATTTATCTAAACTCAATATGTTTTATCCAACAAAATCAGCCAGATTGTTCACTGATGTATCTCTTTTCTATAAACAAAAGTAAGAATAGACCAACTGGATTGATTTACGTATATGCAACATAAAAATAAACTTATCGAAGTTCTAATTCTCTTTATAGTCGAAATGGTATATATCATGTAAAGTTTCATTGCACTGGCTCTTACAAGAACCAAATGCATAAAGAACAAACAAACACATTTTGTTCTTCATTATTACAAAACCATTTTGAAACTAAATGGATCAAGTGAGAAGGAGAATATTTTCTTTATCCACTAAGTCATTTTATTTCAAAAAAATATCTATCTATACCCATTCTATCCAGATACAAATAGGAGTGAGAGATAGAGACATGCACAGAGGAAAATAAGGAGAAGAAAGAGAGTGATCGATATGAATACTTCTTACTTCTTGTCAAAGCAGAGAAAAATAAAGAAGATGCTGTGATACACCTTCTTTTTAATTGTGCAAGAAGTAAACAAAAATGTAGAATAAAATAAGGAAAAGAAAGATGTGGACGAACAATATGATGGTCATGTGGAAAGCAGAAGTGAGAGAAATAGATCAAACAAGTTAATTTAACAACAGCAAACCTTGGCACATGATCTTTTGACGGTGACGGTTTTCTTTCTGATGACTTTGCAACATGGTTTGCAGCAGCACACAGTTTTAGTTACACAACATTTTGGATCGCAGCAGCAACAATCACAGCAGCAAGGATCACAGCAAGAGCAACAACAAGGATCACAACAGCATGGATCACAGCATGAACCACAACCGCGGCCACAGCCGCAACCACATCCACATCCACAACCGCATCCGCAACCACATCCACAACCACAGCCTGGCATATTAATAGTAATAATGTAGTGAAGAATAAAACTAAAGTAAGATGAGAATTGATTTGTGAAACTATGAGAATAGATGTGGGTATATATATAGAGGCAGAGAAACGAACAAAATTATTTTCAGTCAACAACAACAACAACAACAACAATTCACTACTGTCTTCACATGACAATATTTAATATGTACATGTCATAGAAAAATACAGACGGAGAGACATACGTAACTCTCTGTTACTATTCATGCAATACAACAAAAATATGAAATTCACACTTGTTACTAATGTTTTTCGTTTGATTTGTTTTGATAGTATATAGAAAACATTTAAATTTAATTTCACATTCACCTTGTGACCACAACTCTCAAAGGGTAAATGTCATTTGATACACCTTTTCATGAAAACAGTGCTAATCAAAAAAAAACAAACTACATTTTGTTGATGAAAAATATTGATTCTTACGTTCTAGTACACACATGCTGTAATATCGTAAAACTACGTGAATATCATAACACAACACAACGTAAAAGAAAAATGAATACAATGATATTTTTATTTCTTTGATTGTTTCTGATTTTGCTCGGTGAAAATTTAGTATAATCGATTAAGCGAAAGCCTGTGACGAAGAGCTTTCACATCAATGACAAGAATGATCAATTTACATGGAATATACTGTCAAATTTAAAGATATTTTATTTATGTGAAATCATCTGTTTAGCAATGCTCATGAAAATATTGATTGCATTTATTTAAAAGAATGATATAAATAGAAGTACATTGTAGAAAGAGATAAACATTGTATTTCATTTCTATTAAGTTCGAATCAAATGTATTTCATAGATATAGTAGTTAATGAAATCAGGCACAAATATTAAGTATAACATAAATAGAGAAAGTCATGTGGATCCTCTCTGTAAATCATCAGTAAATAGCTGGCGTTCTATGAATATGCCTTACTTAGAAACATTGAAATATTCTTAGTTGTATACAATCATGGCTCGCTAGTGAATATTGATTATTTATAAATGTATTGAGTTAATATTCTATGATAATAAAAGAATGTAAAATGATTTTGATCAAAAATGATGATAGAGATAAAACGGATCAATGCAAAGAAAAGAATGATAAAAAATCGATACAAGATTATACAGAAGTCATTAAGTTTACTTTTTTCGTAGAAATTAAGTGTTCGTAAAAAGGAATATCTGGGAAAGGGTGTGGGTGTAGGTGTGAGTCCGAAGATATCTGTAATAAAATACACCCATACCCTTTTATTTGAATGTAATTGGAGAAAATTTATATCATGTCGAAGAATCACCTCATATTTACCAATGCTGCATAAAATTTATGACTTCTCTTACACTTGTGAATCAAAATTTAATTCGTCAATGTTTATTATTTATCTACACCCACAGTATGAAAATGAGATGTAAGTGTCTCGTCAATAGATTATTTCAGATCTTTCTAATGTAATGGATAATCTATCAATAGTATAGTCGCAATTGTAGACATAATGAGCTTCGATTTTATAAGGTGTATCCTCCTCAAGTATGAAAAGAGTCAAGGGGTACTTGTGCTGTTTTCTATTATTTGCAATATGAACATAAATGGTAAACTTCTAGATACTAAATAATAGTTTTCATTTATTTTCTTTTCAAAAATTTTATATTAAAAAGAAAATTTATATTTGTTTACACGATTACTGGATTACTCGTTAATGGACATTGAGCAAGTTGATATTGATATGGCCGTTGATATGGATTCTGTTGTAGACACTGATAAAGTATATGTTGCACAGAAGCAGAACGAGTTGGTGGAATGCCAGGTGGTGGTTGTGAAGTCCAATATATAGGTGGTGTACCATAAGTTAAATAGTATAGAATAGCACCTGCTGACCATATATCAGCTTTCGATGTCACAGGAGCTCCACCATTCATACATTCTGGTGCACTAAAATATGGAGTACCACCCAATTTTTGCCAATTGTATCTATATATATAATAAAGAGAATGTGATAAATAAAATCACATCATACTTACCCAACTATTTCTTTCTGTGCAAAACCTAAATCAATGACTTTTAAAATTGGACCAAAGAATACCAAATTTGCTGGTTTCATATCACAATGTACCTTTAGTTAAACACATTTCTTTCAATATTTTTATAAATACTAACGATTCAATAACTGTTTCTGAAGTGCTATCAAAAAAAACTATTTTTTTCCGTCATTCTTCGCTTACGACATTATGTTGATAGAGTTCTGAGATGATATTAACCAATTGTATCCAAATATTCTTGCGTTCTCTTGCTGAAATATAATCATCATCACCCATTCCTGATCCGATGTATTGGGAATGCATCCTATGAAGTTCTTTGACTCGATCTTGCAAAGTCTGATCACCTAATTCCATAGCTATGAACGCTAGTTTTGTTCGTCCATCAAAATCAAATCCATAGATATTTACAACATGATTTGTTACATTTCGCATTGAAGATGTCATTTCGACTTCTGCTTTAAACGAATTGATTAATGCAAGTCGATTTATATTTCTTCTTAGCTTACGAAGATTAAACACTTTGACAGCGGCACGACGACCTGTAATTCCAACAAAAAAAAAGATATTAAACTAAAAATCGAAATAAACAATAATATTCACCATCAAGCGTAGTAGATGCCCAAACAGATCCAAATGATCCAGTACCTCGTCGTTCACGTAAAGTATAAAATTGATTTTTAATACGAAATGTTTGATTTATAAGCCAAATCTTACGATGATATACTGGCTAAAAGGAACGATAGTCTAAAGTAACGTGAAAAACAAAAAAGTTTTTTTTATACAACAAACTGTACCAAACTTACATGGATATTGATTCCAGTATATGTTATTATACATGTTTAATTTTCTTTCTAATAAAAAAAAGCAAGTACTATTATATTATATCATTTAAGAACGAAAGAAAATAAATGAATCATTGTTATTAATATATTTATATACTTTTCTTACCTTTTATTATATGTCAACTACGATTAGAAATTCCTAACTGCAACTAATGTATTGTAATCAATGTAAATTATTCTATTGACTAGTAATGTGATAAAATAATTGTGAAATATCCATTTTATATATGACTCTAATTAAAAGGAATGAAAAAAAAGGTTTGAACATAAGTAAATGATAGTCAGACACACGTGTTTTTCTATCCTGCATGCATTGATTTTTGTTATAGATAAAAAATATGATGACAGATATTAATATACGATGTATCCTTTTTTAATTGAAAAAAAATGAAATGAGTCATAATATTAGAAAAAAAGGTTATATGTATATAATAGAGTGTGAGTATCTATACCTTGAATGATATTTGATATAAATGTTTTTTTCTTTTTTTGTTCATTAGTTGACTATATTATTAAAAATAGAAAACAATTTTCATATATATTGTAACTCATTTATAAAATTTTGATCGATTCACAAAATATTTCTCATTTTGTAATTACATCATTGACTTATTCTTCATTCACGGTAAACAATTTAGCATGATGATTCTTTTCAATTCGTGCTGGTGAGTATGGGCGCGTTTAATATTTACATAGAAAGTTTTGTTAGATGACATGCATTACTTTTGCATGTGATGTGTTATCAGTATATGAGTTCGATAAAGCCATAACGAAAGAAGTAGGTGCGTGTTGCACTAGTTGATAAGAAATAGTTTTTAGTTACAACAACTGCTTATTCAAGACAAAAAACCAAATATGATTTTGCTACTAATTTTCGCTGCAGTATTATTGATGTGTTATTACTTGAAATTGAAATATTTTACACTTCATGGTCCTTTGCCTGGTATGCCACCACAATTTCTTCTAGGAAATTTAGCTCAGTCAGGTCTTTTGTTTGATAAAGCATCTCTTCCTGAAGCACACATCGCATTTAAACAGCGATATGGCGATATATATCAATTTTGGATTAGTTCAACACGTCTGATTGTCGTAAATAATTTAAATGACATCCAACACATATTTACTCATCGAAATATTTACGATCAAGGCGATATATATGTTCAAAAGTTCAGTATTGTTATCCCACATGGGCTCATTTCGAGTAAAGGTATGTTGAAGATTTTTTCTGACAAACAAATTTTCATTAATTTATTTAAGGTGCTAAGTATAAACGACATGCAGGACTTACTTTGCCATTATTTCGTCGTGGAAAGATAGTATCAAATTTCGACTTGATTGTCGATTGTGTGGACAAACTTTTAATTAGATGGCGTACAAAATCCCCTCAACATGTGCATCTAGATATTGTTCAACAATCCCAAAATCTTCTGCTTGCCATCTTTGGATTAATTGGCTTCGATTATGATATGGAAACTCTCGATAATGATAACGACACAAATAAAAACGAACTTACTAAAGCTCTACAATATTTTTTAAGTAATTTCAATATCATGCTCTTCTCACCAAAAATTTTATCTACTATCTACTTTAAACTGAGTTCGCAATATCGACAATCACAGAAAACCATTGAGCAGTATTTTGATCGAATGATTAAACAAGAATTAGACAATGGAAAAGAATTGATAGCACAACGAAAGAGAACATCTCTGATAGCGTCGCTCGTTGGTTCGCTTCAACAAGATGAAGAAATGGAGACAAATAAAAGTGAAGAGGATAGAAAAGGTAAATATATATTTATTACTTTGATGGTCTATTCATTGAGATAATTTTCTATTGATAGGTCTTTCTCGAAATGAATTGCTAGATGAGATGCGTCTCTTTCTCTTGGCTGGTTTTGAAACTACTTCAACTGCTTTAGCTTGGTTCATTCATCTCATGAGTAAACATCCACAAGTCCAACAGAATATCAAGACAGAATTATCAAATAACAATAGCCAAGGACTCTTGTCACTCGATCGGCTCGATTCACTCGTCTATTTGGATTGTGTTATTAAAGAAGTATTTCGTTTTTGTCCACCCATCAATGGAACAGTTCGCACATTGACTGTAGATGATCGTTTACCAGAAACTGGTGCTCAACTATTTCGAGGTGATCAAATTCTTATTCCATTTCATAGTCTTGCACGAGATACACGTTATTGGTCAATCGATCCTGAACTTTTCTATCCAGAGAGATTTCTTGGTGCAGATAAGGATCATCATCCTTATGCATTGATTCCATTTGGTGGGGGTCATCGTCAATGTATCGGGCAAGATTTAGCTCGATTCGAATTAAAGGTAATCGCTGCTAGATTAATGCAATATGTTACATTCGGTGATGGCGGTAATCAAGTTAATTCAGGTGGACATCTATCAAAGCTCACTATTATACCCAAACATGTCGGTGTCACTATTGACTTTGACAAATAAAATAATAAAACTTTTCTTTTTTTCAAAAATAAAATTTTATTCAAAAAATTATTTCAAATTTTTCAATTCGATCATTTCCCGAATCAACAACGTAAAGATTTCCTTCATTGTCAACATATAAACCACGAGAACCGTTCAATTGATTTGATTGATTTTCTCCGCCATTTCCGCCAACAATAATTTCACCTTCTTCTTTTCCTTCATACCAACGCATTATTCGATGATTCCCCCAATCTGCCACAAAGACTTGACCAAAATGATCAACAATTACTCTTGTAGGGTTAAACAATTGATTAAGATCTTGAGGGTGTGGGTGAGTGTCTCTTCTCTTAGCTCACACTCACGCTCACATCCATACTCTTGATAAGCAATGCGTCCAATAAGAGTCAAGATCGCATCCAAATCGAATCATTCATGTCTTTTTTCTCACTCGTTTTCTTGTTTTACACCTTCCACTTTTTATGTCGTCATATCGAAACTATTTTGTGAGGAAATCAAAAAGCTCAGCTTGAAGTGCTTCAATCAAACAGAGAGTAAACACACGAATGTTGCTGCAACTCCAATGTTACATAAATCAAGAACGGTACGCATTCAATCGTAGACATTTTTTTCACTCGAGAACGGAAGTTAATAACAAAATAATTGGTGAGTTTCTGTTAACTTTTATCAACGCTTTTTATTTGGTTTATTTGAATATGCCTGGATCTTGGTCACAAGATGATTATTTGAAGAAAAAAAGAACTTTTTTTATGAGCGCTTTCTGTAAGAAAGAAATCCGAATTTATTATTATTTTTTTTGAAGTCTTATAGCCAATATTCTCGGTTTAGTTGAAATTGTTCTCAACGGATGTAGAAATTTAAGAGTCTATTTATCTTAATCATGTAAAACTATTTATGAAATCTTTGCCATTACTAAGCACTTGAATATATTTTAAAACTAATGGACGCTTTTACTTGATAATGCAATAGATCTAAATATATTTTAATGGAGTTTATTGCAATGAGCCTATAAAGCGTGAAAACATTTGTATTCTCATATAATTGCATGCATTATTCTTTTGTGATAAAGGCATGTCTTCGATTTTAAGAATGACGTACTTTATATCAATTTAAATTATATAGTCTGCTGTATTATTTAGTTGAGCTTCTTCATTTTTTTTTTCAGGTAAGATAAAAACTGTTGTTAAAATTAAACGCATAGCATTATGTTGATGTCTATGACTATTGATATGAGCACAAAGTTTCTTTCTCGCTCATTATTTGACTTAAATAACTTAACTTATTCTATAAATTTTAGTATCATCAATCACTTTATTTTAATATACATACTTGAGATCATGGCAGATCTCTCACGTATCTTATTTTTTGTAAAAGTCATTGTATTCGGAATTTGTATAATGCTTACACTATTTTATTCTCTTTTGATGTTGTTTATTACTCGTTTACATAAACGTATTAATATCCTTACACTTAATATTTGTATTAGTTCGATTAGCATTAGTGTTTATTTCACAGTCTTTTTTGTAATGTATGAGTATTTTAGTGAATATTTATTCACTGAAATGACTTGCCATTTCTTATTCTATATTCAATCATTCTGTCTTTGTCAATGTGCATTTTCATTTGTTACACTTACTATTAATCGATTCTTTACGATCATATATCATTCAAAAATATTTTTTAAAACAAAGAAATTCATGGCAATATGTGTTGCAAGTCAGTGGATTATTGGAGGTCTTGTCTCATTACCATTTACATTTTATATTTCACCGGTAAAGAATTTTTCTAAATAAACATTTAAGAGATAGATTTTCATTTTTTAAATGTGATAATTTTTAGTATTGCGCTGTTCCACAATGGCTATTGTTTTACACAGTACTCATTTTTATAATAGTTCCGGCATTGATTACTCTTATTATAAATCTTAAAATATTCAAACATGTTCATGATTCATCCAAGAGAATACACCAACAAATGACGGCAACTACAGGAACTATAATCATTCGTCAACAACCAGCAATTAATCGACGTGATTTATCTCTATTGAAACATGATCTTTATGTTTTCAATGTTTATTATTGGATGGACTCCAATTTTTTCTCTTGAAGCTATTGATTATGCCTACGCTGTTAGTGAACTTGTGTACTCACTTTTACAAGTTTTCTCTGTTATCAGCTTGCTCGTTTGTACGATAGATTTGTTACTATGCAATCAAGATTTAAAACGATTTGTAAAGGAAACAATTTTACAATGCTTTTAAATATATGTAACATATTTTTATCGTACATCTTGAGGCTGTGGGTGTGTGTTCTCTATTTTGTTGATCTCACAATTAAATAAAGTCTCATAGAAAAAAAAACTAAGAAACAGAATAGATCATGAATATATTTATTCTTTTTTTTTCATCGTTAAATAAAACTTTTTCAAAATCTTCTTTGACCACCAAAACGTTTACGATATTGTTCAGCCAAATCACTTTTTATACGTTTAAATAATGGTCGAGCTTGTCCCACTGTGTGACCAGCTGGTAAATAACAATGAAAAGCATTTTCTAATGCATGATTAGATTCTTTCATATTAAGTTGTTCTCGTATTTCATTCGATGTTGTTGGCATAAATGGTTGAAGAACCAATGAAAGTAAATAAACAAGATTTAATGCAAGAGCAATACTTATTTCAGCATCAGCTCTAAAATCATTATATATTTTCATGAAGAAACAAAACTGTACAAAAAAAAGACTTACCGATCAGCATCAGAACCTTTACATTTTATCCATGGTTCTTTCATTTGTAAATATTGATTACCAAAGCGGGACATACGTAAAACACATTTAAGACCATCACGAAGTCTTGTTTTTTCCATAACTTCTAAATAAGCATTCAATTCATTTGTAATTTGTGCAACAAATAATTGATCCAGTGGTGTTTCTAATTTAGTAGCATTACCAATTTTACCAGCAAAATTCTCTTCACAAAAAGTAATAGCTCTAAATATGTAAGACTATTGTTTGAATATATATAAAATATTTTCTTTATTTACCGATTAATAAAATTGCCAAGATTATTTACTAATTCTGAGTTATTTTTTAACATTAAATCAGTCCATGAAAAGTTACTATCCTATAAAAATTCATATGATAATAATTGAATTGAATTAAATTAAATGATTTCATTTACTGTAGTTTCTGGTCGAATATATAAAAGATAAAATCTCCATATATCCGATGGAATTTCTGTATCTTGAGCATGATCACCAAACACACCAATACCACGACTCTTTGAAAATTTTGCACCTTCATAATTAAGATAATCTATAATATGAAAAAAATAAGAATTTCTAAATAAAAGTCTTCAATAATTAAAAATTCATATTAACCTATGCCAGAAAGATGATTAACAACTGTAAAAGTATCTTGTGACCCTAGAAGACAAGATGGAAAGATGACGGCATGGAATGGTACATTATCTTTAGCCATAAATTGAAATAATTCAACTTTATCTGGTTGTTGCCACCATTGTTCCCAATTATCCGTATAGTTTGCTGTTATTGATAGATAACCAATGGGTGCATCAAACCAAACATAAAAAACTTTGTCAGTATAACCTTCTAAGGGTACTTGTGTTCCCCATTTAAGATCACGTGTAATACATCGTGGTTTAAGACCTTCATTAAGCCATGCTTCAGTAATACTGCTGGCTGTATTTGTCCAATGACCTGTCTTACTTGATTTGTCGAACCATGATCGAACATCTGGCTGTAATTTTGGTAAATCAAGAAACAGATGATCGGATTTTTTAATTTGTGGTGTATTACGACAAATTCGACATTTTGGTTCAACTAGTTCGATAGTATTAATTAATTTTCCACATTTATCGCATTGATCACCACGAGCATCATTATATTTGCATGCTGGATTTGGACATGTACCAGCAACATACTGATCAGCCAAAAATCTTGAAATTAAATAATATATTTAAAATTGAGAATAAAAATATCTTTACCGTTGACAAGTATCACAATATAATTGTTCAACAATATCTTTAAACACAAGATCACGTTTATGTAATTTCCAAAAAATATCTTGACAAATTTCAGTTTGTTTTTGTGTAGATGTACGTCCAAAATAATCAAAATCTAATTGAAACCATTTATAGATTTTTGTATGTATATCATAATATTTATCACAAATTTGTCTTGGTGTACATTTTTCTTCTAATGCTTTTGTTTCTGTTGCTGTACCATATTCATCTGTACCACAAATATATAAAGTATTGTAATTTCTCAATCGACAATATCGAGCAAAAACATCAGCACTTAATAATGCACCAATAAGATTACCTAAATGTGGTACATTGTTTACATAAGGTAAAGCACTTGTGATTAAAATATTTCGAGCATCAGATTTAGGTAGTCTATAATTAACAAATATTTTTTTTTGAAATTTTATACTAGTAATATTAAAATATCTTACATCTTTTCATCAGGTTTTTTTTGATTAGCTAATAATGGTTTTTTAACCCATTCATTCAAAGCCTTTTCAACTTCTTCTGGTGTTCGATCAAAATGAAGTTTTTCTGCCATTGCTTCCTCAACTTTTAAATTTTGTAAATTAAGATCGTTTGAGGTTGCCATTATCTAAAATAATTCGTCTACAAATATGTTTACATATGTATATATATATATATATATATATATACTCATTGCTGTTGCAATGTGGTTTATCTGACGCAATATATGATCATTCATTCATGTGTCATAACGTAACCATTTTCTTTTCTTTCGTTCTTGTTCTACATCACATGAAAGATATCAGACATAAAAGAATGGAAAAAAAAGATTGCGCATATTATATATTCATTCTAAAACTATAATGGTAAGCCTTCAAAAGGCCTATGACTTATGCTTTTACCAGCAGATTTGATTCTTGGTAATGCATTTCAGCTCGATAGAATCATATCGTGCAGTTTAAATATAAAAAAGTTCTAAATTTAATGCTGATTCAAATTATGTAATTCTTATTGCTAAGCTGTTTATATAAATACGATTTTGAGAGCAAAAGATAATTAGTATATACAGCCATCTATAACATTCATCGTAACCTTTCTATAAAAACGTTTTTAAAAAAAATTCTGTCGAGACAGAAAAATATAGATATCACTAATGAGAAGTGCATCTGCTTTTAATTGCACGAAAGAAACATCTTTTCACTGCTCTGACAGTACACCATAAGAAGAAAAACAAACAAGAGATATACTAAATATATCCTTTAAATACGTACTTGTCTTGAAGATTTACTAATTCGTTTACTTGTATCGAAACTATTTGACCATTCATCTTGTAATAAACGAATAGGACTACTAGTTTTTTTTGTTAAATTTTAATTTGGTTTTGGACTAAAGGAAAAAGCACGACTTAATCGTTTATTTGCTTTATGAAGTCCACGTTTCAATGCTAAACTAAGTAAGTTTAAACTACTCGTTGATCTTGAATTTGAATCAATTTCTGAATTTTCAAGTGATATTTAAGAGAACAGTACATATGATGATTATGATTTGAATTATGAATTGTTTGAATAAGTGAAGAATAAATAACAATCAAAATAGGGTGTGGATGCGGATCTTCTTCAATCTCCACACCCACACCCACACTCACACACTTTCCTAGAGATGAATAAACAAATGAGGCACGTTGTTCGGAAGAAATGAAATAAATCTGAACATTAAAAGAATTATAAATGTGTCGACGAGAGTCAAAGAATTATAAAAATTAAAGCCTCTTCGGGATGTGGGTGTGATGGTGTATGAGAACGAATTTCTTCTGCTCGTACATCCACATCTACACATTCTCTTTAAAAGACATTTACACTCTCAAAACGGTTGCATCAATGAGGTTATGTGTGGGTGGGTGTGAGTGTCTATATTTGAGAGAAGATCAGATCTGCTAATGTAATTACGGGTTGACTCTTCGATACTCGATTCACATGAGTTTAACATTTTACTCTTCTTCTCTTTTTTCTCTCGAATACAGAAAGCCATTATGCGTCGTCAAACGTATTTCTTCCCTCCTTTGACTATTGCACACCAAATGAGTAAATTGAATTGCGAAATAACGCTGTCACCATATTTTATTGCGTCCTTTTTGAAAGATATTTCATCACCTAACGACTGATCAACTTCTTTTGCTAGTGGGGCATTTGAAAAATATTTTCTGTGATGGAAAAAATATCGGCATCGACATCGTCGTATCGTTCTCGTTTCTTCAATCTGATCCATGAAACGGATGTGGGTGTATACCGCGTTAACAGATGAATACCACATCCACTTCGACACCAGCGGTCAATCCAGAATCAGACTGAACATTCTCGTGAAACAAGATAGATTTGTGCTTCTTCACAGCAATTATTTTTGTCTATTACTTGTTACCTAACATCTCAGTTGACTGGAGAAAGTTTTGCAGTCATATTTATAGTAGAGCTCACTTTTTCAGTGAATGGTGTGGATTCATGTTGTCTTCAGCCATACCCATACCCACCCCCATGGTTCAGAACTCTTGTTCTCTCAATTGTCTGATAAAAAGGTTTCAAACCGAGTTCGGGAGAAACTTTCAAATCGACAGGCATTCGAAACTCATTTTGAATAAACCCAAAGAAAAAGTACCATTGTAACGGACCATGAAGCATATTTCTTAATTTTAAAGAGAGAATGGTGTGCTTATGTGGATGGCGACAATGCAATGAAAAAATCGACATACAACAACAGCACAAAAAGATAAAAGATCATTTTCGCGCAGCTATATTTATTTATTAAGATGTGGGTGTGTTCTATTGCAGATATTCCCACGTTCACACTCTTCTTCATTCCAAGTATTTTTATGACACAGGCAGTTTATATTTCGCATAGCTCTTTAAAAAAATATTTCATTTACTTGGAAGAAACCAGCAAGAAAGTCAGAGATTTATATTTCATTTCTTTTTTTGCTGCAATAAAATATAATGTTGACTATCGTTTTCTGTTTTTTTATGATTCTGTATATGATATCATAAAATATAATAGAATGAGTGAGAGTGAATCAGCTATTGCTATTACTTTTTTCTTGGGTCTGAGTG